ATTTATTTATTTATACATACTCTACAGGAGACGGGCCTGAAAACTTTGACAAAGACACAAGTTGTTCAGAAACAAGCAGAGCCAGATCAGGTGGACGTAGAATTTGCAGTGAAGAGACTCGAGTTTAAGAAGTTTTTGGAGGCTCTGGCTTTAAGAAGGTCCGAACTAGAATATAAACAACAGCAGGTGAGCTGGCATCTCCTTAAGTTCCTGAGTGGGTCAATGAGAGTAGTTGTCTGTTTGTCCACTGTCAGTCTTAATGTGGCTGCCCCTTTGGGTTTCTATTTGTCCCCAAGGACCGACAGAAAAGAATCAAGTTTGAGAAGTTTGTTTCTGAGAGAGAAGCGAAGCGGCGTGAAGCACTGAAGACGTGCGAAGCCACGCAAGAGCAGAACATCTTGAAGCAGAGAGAGATAGAAGAGCTGACAGAACAACTGAAACAACTCAAAACAAGGTGGATATGTGAAACAGACTTTAATGTGAAAATGTTTTTTTTTTTTCCAAACACTCTCAGCTTTACTACAAATCAGTCTTACAGGAAGCACAGTTTGAAGGAGAAGACGGAAAAACACAAAATCTACAAGGACTTTGTGATGAAAACACAGGATCATCTTCCTAGGAGTAAGTCCAAATCTTGTTCTGCTCATTTCTTCAGAGTTTGTCACACACCTTAAGATCAGGGTTCGTGCAGGGTCTTAAAAAGTCTACAATTTGAAAATCTAAATTTTAGGCCTAAAAAGTCTTAAAACGCCCAGATTTTCATCCAAGGTCTTAAATTTAATTTTGTCAAGTCTTAATTTCTTTTTACTTTTGATCATTCCCAAGAAGCGTTGGCAGCATAAATAAACAGAGCTGTAATCAGAGGTTGATGCGATCTGTCTTCATGAAGTGCTAAGTTTGATACCAGTACATGGTTAAACTACTAATCCTGTGATAACCACAGGCAAAAAAATGGCACAGTTTACTTAATGTTTTCGACCTCTTTGTCGCTACAACCCCTCACATACAACGGCTTGTTCACCTGCCCAAAAAAACAAAAACAAATGTCAGTCATGTCCATTGCTTGTCATTCAAAAAGTGTTTTCAATGAGACTTGGCTTGAAATCAGTGATTTTTGCACTCGGTTGGAAGATGTCCACTGCACTCAATATGAACAAGATCTCGTAGATATGACTGTTTCATTAAAACAATTTAGTGTTCTTGTATTAAAATTAAATATTCTTAAATAACTAAATTGATAATAAAAGGTTTCTATGTTAAAATTTCTGGGACCATTTGAGTGTTTCTGTTAATGCGTCAGTTTGGTGTTAAAGGTCATTCCTAATGGTCTTAAAAGGTCTTAAAGGGTCTTAAATGTAACTTCCTGCACTTACTTACCTGCATGAACCCTTCAAGAAGGAAGAAACTGTTCAATCTTTTCTAGATTCCCATGATAGTGGCTATGAATCTTCTGGAATGCCCATTATTCGGCACCATGAGATCCTGTCTGCCACCAATCAGAAGCTACAACAAAGTTTGGCACAAATGGAGGAAGAGCTTGAGCAGATAAAGCGACAACGTCAGACCATGAAGCAGGAAAAAAACGTTAGAAAACTGGTAAGATACTAAAATATAATTGATGTGGTATTTATTTATTTTTTTTACCATCACGCTCCAATGACCTTGTTTTTGTTCACAGCTGGCCAACAAAGAACTTTCTGAACTGCAAAGTGAGTTTGAAACCCTCAACCAGAAGAACAAACAAGCAGAGTTTGACTTGTTCATGAAGCAAGATGTGTCCAGAGAGAAGGTAAGCCTTTCAACATTTTCTGGTTGAAAATGGTGGCCTTGAGTGTAAGCACTAAAAGTTTTTCTCTCAGGCTAAAGAGACGGGGAAATTACTTTTGGCCATCGAAAACCTTGCACAGCTGTGTTACCTTCCAGCATACGGACCTCTGGAAAAAATGGACGTACTGACGATGATGGACATGGTGCAGGTAATATCTTAGGCTTTTGCTGTGTATGCATCACTTTGTTGAACCAGATGATGACAAACCAACTGTTTCAGGAGTACATTCTGGACAAGTCGGACACAGTAAGAAGAGCCAGGCAAACCACGGAGCACGGCTTGACGGCGACAAGTACAGCAGCTCTGAYCCACAAAAATGAGAAGGGATTCACGAAAAACACTGACTAAAACACTACTTAAAAGTTCAAGTAAAGTCAGTAAATAAAKTGACATTTAAACAATGTTACTGTTGTTTGTTCATATCTGATAACTCAAAATGAGGCTTTACTTGCATGAATGTTCTTAAATGTTTGTTTTTGGTTTTGTTTAAATGTGTACCACACATTTAAGTGTTTTAAATGGATTTGCACCTTAAATTGTTAAATGAATATTCTTTCAAAATGATTATGTGGCCTGATCTTGTTTCTAAGAACTCTGAAAATGTCTTTGGAATGTACTTGTTTCATTTTAAAATATAAATAATGCAGTTAAACAGGAAGTGATGTTCTTCAACAAGTAAAGAATGGTAAGTATGCAGTGTCCTTGCAATTTAAAATTATTTTAAGCAATTGATTCCTACAGCAGAAGTGCAGAAGGAATTCACAGATTATAGTGAAACGCTGCTTACTTAAAATAGACAACATRCTACCAGGGATATTAGTCCAGTTATGATAATACTGTTATTGTTTTAGACAAATGCTCAAAAGTTGTCTAGATTGCGTAGTGTCGAGTCCTCGATGAACTCTTATTTAATTGTTTACAATATTCCTCAGGGTATCCAAGATTAATTATGGTCCACAAAAGCATCAATCACATTGAAATTAYAAACATACATATTTACAATTAGAGCCTACTGAGGCCTATTAGGGCCTACTCCAAAATAATCACGTGAACTACTGATATTTTAGTGATTMCGTTTTGCAAACAAAACGAGAAAACAAAAACTACAAATAAAAGAATACATTAAATAAACTATTAAAATTCTTAAAATAAAAATTAAATCTGTAAAAGTATGACGTCAGAGATATAGTTGGTGCACTGGCCCNTTAAAATTCTTAAAATAAAAATTAAATCTGTAAAAGTATGACGTCAGAGATATAGTTGGTGCACTGGCCCTTTAAATGAAGCACGCGCACGTACTTCCGTAAACATCCGTTTTTCAGAAAGTGGAAGCTAAACAAATGTTTCGCTTCGACACATTCGACGCACGTTTTTGCCAAAATGAAATCGCGTTTCCCCGCATTTTCGTCTACTTCACGTTGTTGAAATATGAAGGTACGCCACGTGTCAAAGTTCTGCGGTTCGTTTCATGTAACGCCGGCTCGGGCGGTAAAATGTTCTGTTTTCCCCGCAGATGGACGTCGGCAGCCTCGTTTCACGCAGAGAAGACATTTCTGCACTGTTCCCTGCGGAAACACCGAGTGCCAAATACAAAGTAGGCCGTTTTATTTTATCCCGGGGCGGGGAGGTGGTGTGTGCTGCGGGAAAATAACCGAACTGGATTTCTGTTTTTGTCAGGATTTAAGCCTCCGGTTTTCTGCCGTTAGAAAAGTGAGCGGCGACGGGAACTGCTTCTACAGAGCCTTCTGCTTTGCTTACCTGGAGTCCGTTTTACACAAACCCAGAGCTCTGCAGAGGTCAGCGAGCAACTCTGTCACTGAAATTACTCGTGTGTGACCAAAATAACCAATGTTGACCAAAAATAACCAATGTTGACCAAAATAACCAATGTGTTCAACATCAGGTTCAAGGAGAAGATCATCCAAAGTGGCACAGCTTTGACTTCAGCCGGATTTGACGAGAGTTCCTTCAGCCATTACCAGAATACAGTAAAAAATGACCATTTTCTCTTCAAGCACTTTTTACAGTACAAGAAAGTATTAAGTACATAATACATCTGATTTATAAATGAATGAGACAGAAGCAAACACAAAAAATGGGGCGCTAAGTGTAAAATAAAATGTTTAAAAAAATCACAAACATATTTTCATTATTTAGCTCACTTTGAGTTTTAAAAAATTCCAATAATTTTATTGTAATTTAGCTCACTACGCTTATAATTTTTATTTATTTATTTAACAAAATTTTAAATTTAAATGTTATGTCTAAATGTTAAATCATAAATGTTGGAATAGAATACATTTATTTTGGAATGGAACTCTTTGCCATTGGTGCTTGGCTGTTGTTTAGGGCTGCATGGTATTGGAAAGTCTTGCACTGCGATATTTGTAAATATTGATAATATTTGTAAATATTAATAATGCTCGTAAATACTTTGTATTATATTGTAATATTTGTAAAGAAAGACCGTCCGTCATTAAACAGAGGTGGGGGCCTCCGTTTTCAGCTGTCCCCCTCCTACAGCGCTGCCATTGGCAGTATCACTCCACCCCTGTTAACAAAAGGTATTAATTAGGGTGAACGATAGCCATGTGATGTGAGTATCAGTCACCTGGAGGCAGGACTTAAAACCCTGAATTTTGCCTGAAACTCTCAGACTGAAGAAGTCTCTTGGAAGAGAGACGAAACGTTTCATTAAAGAACCCGTCCAGAGGACCTATACAATTTATTTTCCCCTCGTAAATAATGTGATGACAATATCAGGTGTGATATGACATTTTTTTCCTTGCCTCCATTTCTAATCTGTATTTCATCTCTATGTGACCTTTAGCATTTTTGACAATGTGATTTGTGTTTGGTGTGAGCTTTTTCTGTCGCGAGACTCTGTCCTCCTAGCTAAATATTGTTAGCATGAAAAATACAACTTCATTTTGAAGTACAGTCCACATTTGTTAACAATTACTCCTAGCAATCTATTGCAATATGAATATTGCACACACTGATATTGCAATGACAATATATTGTGCAGCCCGGCTGTTGTCATCAACTTGAGACAAAAGCAACCACTAACGCTGCACTTCAAACTACCAGACTACAGGTACCCTCCATGTTGTTTTGAGTTAAAAATTTAAATGCCATCTTCATCAGTGTTAAGGGCCCATTTTACTCCATCCGAAGCAGAACAATCGACACGCAGTCTCGTTGTTCAACAGTCGTTTTTACACACACCTTTCATAGCCCGAGACACAGTAGCTCCTGGGAAACCCTGTCCAATGCAGTACACGTCACTGTTCTGGGTTTCTTCCTGCTGGAGTCTACACTTAGGGAAAAATCAAGCAAACGCAGATATCTGCAGTTATTTTGACCACGAGTTTTTTCCGGTTAAGGCTCCGTTTTGACAGACTGATTCCTCTGTGCCCAATGTCCGTTTTATCCCCATCTGTACAAATGTCTGCTTCCTGGTACAACGGTCAGATTCTGGAAGTGATAACCTTTTTTTTGGAAGTGTTGTAACAAGAAGCTGCAAACAGAATGACAATTTTTGTCATGCAAATGTGACAATACGAGACGATTTCGGCAGTCCGGACGGAGCATGTAGAGGCCTTCAGCGGTTGCTTTTGCCACAGGATGATGTCAAAATGAGCTGTGCACCATCAGCAAAGGTTGCGTTCCATTCCCAAATGTAAACTTGTATCCTAAATTTAAAGTTAAATGAATATTTACATGTAACCATTAAATTTATCATTTAGTAAAAAAAAATAAAATGTAAGATCAGCTTAATAAAATAATTTTAACAAGGATTTTGCACTCCAAGTGAGCTAAATAATCAAAATGTGTTGACATTATTAAACATATTTTACATTTGGTGCCGCCCAACAAAATGCCAGTTAAAAAAGCACCTGGAGTTTAAAACCAGTTGGACTTGCTGAGGGGTTTGTAAATTTTTCATTGGAACTAATTATTTCACAGCATGTTTCTAGGTTAGTCTGTGTTTAACCAGTGCAGGAAAGTAAACCTGTTTCTCCTCTACTGAAGGTTGTTTATGTTGTGGAGCAGTGTCTGGCTGATGAGCAGGAAAACACTTTATTCAAACTCTTCAATGAGCAACTCATCTCTGATGAAGTGGTTCAGTATCTCAGGCTGCTCACATCAGCCCACCTCCAAAACCATGCAGACGACTTCTGTCACTTTGTCGAAGCGCCTGATCTTAAAGTCTACTGCCGCCAGGTAGGAACCAAAGTGTTGCTGCCATCTACTGATAACCTGAAATATCTCAGTCTACGATAAATGTAATATAAATCTGATCCTTCTCTTCAGGAAGTGGAGGTGATGACGATGGAGTGTGATCATGTGGAGATCTTGGCCTTGTTGCAGGCGCTGGATGTGGGCATTCACATCGTTTCTATGGAGGGTGATGAGCAGCTGGCTCACCACATCATTCCAGAGGGGGCAGATTCATCCCTGCACCTCCTCTACCAAACGTCACATTACAACATCCTCTACCAACGAACTCCGCTCTGACCAGAGGTCCCCCGGGACACAGCTTGGCTCAGTGAATAAACCGCACTTAAGACTATCAAGATGACTGTCAAGATTTTTTTTTTATTTTAAAATCTTAGTTTTTGTTTATTAGGCAACGTGACAAAAGCCTCTTTCACAACTGGCATTTGTTTGGATGAATTAACAATTTTTTTTATAGAAATTCTACAACCTTTAAACGACAGTTCACTCAGTTTCATTAACATTTAACTGCTGCTGCTTTACTTTCTTCTTCTTCTTCTTTTGTTTTTCCAACTTTATTGGAAGGTCTTTCTTGAGCTTCTGTTTCTCTTTTTGCTCTAAAACTTTGGTCAAGGCACTTTCCATCCTCACAACTGGTATTTTGGAGACGGGGGGCTTCCCCATTTGAGTGGGATATTTTGTTTTCATCTCATTCTTGAATAAAGGCTGCGAGGTCAAATGCTTYAAGTGCTTCTTCATCCCTTTCAGCATCTTCGTCTGCCTCCGGTCTGCATCGTCGTCTTCAGCGCCGCCTGTGGACACACGTGTCTTTTTCAGTTGTTCTCTTTTTGTAAAACATTTTTTACGGACTTATTTGTGTTGGTCTTACCAAGTAAAATATCATCATCCAGGTCCACCTCCAGGTCTTTTGCAGCTTTTTTGAACCAGGAGTCGTGACGTTTATCTCTGTTGTTGAAGTACTCGATCTTTTCTATCTGCCTGGCAAGATTTACTCGTGTCTGTGGAGTGAATTATTCAACAGAAAACCATCAAATATAAACCTTTTCTATAACGACAGAATTATGGGGATTGACTCATTTAAAGGAAGCTGCAGTTGTTGGTACCATCTTTACAACTTTAAATTTTCTTTACTGATCACAGTTTGCTTTGCCGGATTCACACGGCAGGATAATTGTGCTCAATTTTGGCCCGATTTTGCCCTTCTGACATTCTTTGGGATGCTCCGATTATCATGACGGCTCTAAAGATGATCCTAGCACATATTCCTGCTGGGTGTGGTGTGTTAGGAGTGATCTAGTCGGCTTGGAAAGACGTCAGGAACGCTCCAACCTCAAATTGGGGATATTCAAAATGTTGGGATTGTTTTGGCCCGATATCACAGCATGTCGTTCACCAGAGAACAAACCAGTTCGCAACCTGTCCAATGTGACATGTTCCCATTCAGAAAGCAAGGTGATATAAACACAGAAGGGATTCCAAAATACAGAAGGCATAAAAAAACAGCCATGACTCACCRCAAAGTCCCCAGGACTTTGTTTGTAGAAGTCATTTTGAATTGTTTTTTTATAGCTCACAAACGATCAACACTGCTTCTTCCTCGTCTCAAATGTTTACTCAGAACTCATGTATGATCTCTGAATGTCAAGTGAGATTKTTCCTCTGACATCTGAACGTTCACGACTGCAATCTGTTGGTGTGTTGTCTCTTGCCATGATTTTTTTTAGCCTCGTGTGGTCTCCTCTCAATCTTTCAAAATCGGCCAACAATTTTAAAATCTTGCCGTGTGACCCAGCCTTTAGCCACAATATAAAGCTGATGGATCTCACCTTGATCGCCTCCATGCACCTGGTTTCTACAGGGAACATGGGAAGTTCCTCGTCCTTGCCAAGAGTCTTGCAGATCTTTCTGAAGTTCATCATATCATCGGGGCCTACGAGCAGCAAACTGAGGCCYTCTTTAGTGGCTCGAGCTGTTCTGCCACTCCGATGAACATAAGTCTCTGATGTTCTAGGAACCTGTTGGGCAAAAGTTGGAACACTCAGATATACTCGCATAAAGGAACACATTCTGTGAGTCTGTCTTATAGGAAAACTGAAATTGCTTCTATTTCACCACTACAGTCATAGAACTGCAGCTGTAACATTTAAAGTGCCTGTGACATTAAAGTTTTGCAATAAATCTATGTATTTTTGGAAATATTAAAAGAATTCCACACAGCTGAGATCAACAGTTTAGATATTTGAATGTGAAGTAACAGGAAGTGATGTCAAAGGGGTGAGCATTACTACAACTGACTGTAGAGAAGAATCAGATTTTTTTATTTGGAGTCAGTATCAGAGAGATTAAGAGTCAGAGTTCAAATATTGTTTCAATGAACAAAAACCAGTTTTCTAGAGTTCCCCTTTGATAYCACACTTCCTGTTTCACTTTGGCTGAGCCAGGTTCAAAATACGCCATTTATATGACAAAATGGGTAAAATCATTGCACATGCCAAGTTTCTTAAATATAAAGATGCTTCTTTGACTTGTATTTGAAGGATATGCATGTCACAGGCACTTTTTAGTGTTTGAATTACTTTTTTGGAGTTACCTGGTAATGAATAACATGTTTAACATTGGGGATGTCCAGGCCTCTTGCTGCGACATCAGTAGTCAAGAGAACACAGCTGTAAGTGGAGAGTACAGGTTAGAACATCTCAGATTTACTCTTAAAATTTTGATGTTTTGACTTRTTTATTGAAACTCTGGACTCAAGTTTCTTATTTCTTGTTACCTCCTCAGTWAACCCTGCTTTGTTATAAAAGTGTGAACATAAGTTTGAAGTTCACAGCTCCTAAACTCAGTACAAAAATGTGCAAAATCATATTCTACTGAATGACTACAACACCTTTTTTATTTTTATTACCTTCATTCCATATTAAGTTTTTACATGTCTATAATGTCTTAACTATAATAAAAGTTCCATTTGCTAAAAATCACCATAAGTGCACATTGATTTGTCTTGAGCATTCTAGCCCAGGAACAGCAGATTCCTAATCCCTGTCTTAAAAAGCAGGACTGCATGTTTTCTGAAACTAGTCCCAAACCAAGATACTCACTCCTCTTTCTCAGCAAACCTTTCCAGGTTTTTGAGCCGTTGTTTCTGGTGCATGTTAGCATGTAAATGCAGAGGAGAACAACCCAGGATCTCCAGCAGGGAGGTGAGCCTCTTGATGCACTCGATGCTRTTTGAAAACACCATGGTGCGGCCCGGGTACTGGAGCAGGAAGTAATAAAGGTAGAAGTCCTTGTTGTCCTTCTCACAGTGGATTTGTGTTTCAGTCAGCGTCTCCACCGTGGCCTCCTTCCTGGTGAGGTCGATGACTTTGGGCTTGGACTTCATCCCCAGCTTAGCTATGAGAATTTCCAGTTTGCTCCGGTTGTCCAGCTTTTTCTTCTGTTGCARGAGGCGGCTGGGCAAACTGTGAGCCATCGTCAAAGTGGCAGAGAACACAAACGTTTGTCTCGTGGGATTGAAGTGCGTCTTGTTCAGCATCTCCAGCAAATTCTCCAGCTCGGCAAAGTGACCTCTTTCTATCATTCGGTCYGCTTCGTCAATGACCAGACACCTGGAACATAAAAACCAAGARCAATATAAAAAACACAGAATTAGTGAGTAATTTGTTTATTTTTCTGATGTCTGACACTGATTCACATTCTAGTTAGAATTTAGCTGTTTAAAAATCATTTTAGACCTATTTGGGCAAACTGATTTTTGTTGATTTTATGTGGAGTCAAGGATACTTTTAATAAAACATCAAAACTGTGCAACCACTCAATTACCTGATTATTTATTGATATAAATGCACATTTAAAAAAAGTTTTAGTCAATTTTGTTACTAAATAAAAAGGTAGGTCTTAATTGTTATTGACACTTCGTAGATGTTAGTTAAACTTATGGTGCAATGCTCTATAGGTGACAGATTTTCTTTAAGAGTTTTAAATAACACTGCAGACGTTTTGATTTTTTTATTTTACAAAACATTTTTTCTGTTTGTTGTCCCGAAGGTGCAGCGAATGAAACTGAAAAAGACACCTTTAATGCAGAGCTAGAGCACTTTATTGCATTGTGAYTTGTGTATGCTTTTCACGCATTTTAATAACTGAATTGTTTTGCCCCATTGTAATATAAATTTATATGAACCTTTAACTAAAGGGATTTAAATCGTGACTTACTTCAGCTGTCTGAGGTTCAGTAGATGAGGATGCCGCTCCATGATCAGGTCCCACAAACGCCCTGGTGTGGCAATGATGATTTCTGGCCTGCGGTTCAGCATCCGCCTTTGTTTCGTTTGTGCCATTCCTCCCACAACTAAGGCTGTTTTAATATCTGCGACACAGAAACACATTAAGGCAAGTGTTGAAAGGATTACTTCACTACTGTGAACATGCTGCTAAGTAGGGCTGCACCGATTAGTTGAAATAATCGATGACGTCGATTATGTAAATTTGTCGACGCAGATTTTTTATTATCGATTCGCTGTWTTACATAACCACYRCGTGAATGTTCATGCAATTCCATTTCGGTACCTAAATGCATCATTGCGACCGTATTGGCATAAGAGTGGTGAGTTTTCCATGCTTGTCGTGAACGCAGCATCGCGCAAGAGCGTAATGACGTCAGCAGCCGCTGCTTCAGTTCAGTCTTGAAAACAAGCCTCGCAGCTCCTGGAGTAAAATTTACCAAACAGACCGCCTCTGAATTACCTGGTGGATTAATTATCTTGTGAACATGACGTTCGCTTGCTCAAAGTAAATAAAGTACCGCCACTTTCTTTATTTCATCCGCCATTAAACACAGACCGGTGTTAGGTCGAGCCACGTTCCCCCATTAGATGGTTCCCCCATCAGACAGTTCCTCCAGCGTCCCAAACAACAGAGGAGCTTCCCGACGCACGTCTGACCTAAAGAGCACAAGCAGCCAACAAGTGTTGGACGTGTTCTGGACGTTCAAAACGTAGCTTAAATACCTTTTATTTATTTTAACTGCATCCTCTTTTGTTTATTTGATTTAAACTTATTCACCTTCCATGAACATCCATCACACATTTTTCTAGCGGGGAAATGACGTCAATAGAAACACGTGGAGCTGGATTTTAATTTGTGTAATAAGACAAAACAGTCTTGTTGTTTTCAACAGTTTTCACCTTAAAGAAATAAGTTACACAACTGATGTTACAATACAAAGAGTTGGATGTTGTCTTGATATTTGTTAATTTTATTTATTGAGAAATATATTAAATAAAAAATAATAAATAAATGTTTATTATGTTTATTATAGGTTTTCCAGAGTGACTTGAATTTTGCATGAT